AAGCCGGTTGTAGAAGAATTTTCAGCAACCTTGTGAGTAGTGTTTGCCTATAGCACAATACACATGGAGCCTATTGGAGTGTCATTTGCAGAATTAATGTGGTCGACCAACACGCATCATGGTGTGCATTTCGTTCAGCGGTCCCACAAGAAAAATAAGAACCAGGCAACGGAAGGATTGAATTTCGGAATTGATACTGACGGAATCCGACGCCACGTACACCAAACTGCTTCAAGGGAAGGGAGCTCAGTATTCAGTAGAACAATACTTATGGCGTTAAAGGAAAGTCAGAGTAGCAGTCAGTTCAAGAACGGACAGTGTGCATTCGAGCTGTTTGAAAATTTACAGTTCAACTACTGCCCAAGATCTTTTGGTCGGTCTTACCCTAACCTGAGCTATCTATAGCATGTTTGTATGGTTTCATCCGCACTGTGCCAAATTTGTGTTACATCTGAAATGTTGTGTTGTGTAGAATTAAGTGCATTGTAGATTGCCTTGCTGTCTAATGCCATATTTCATCAAAACCATTTTGCCACTGGGTATTTCCGAATATGGAACTCGTGATTAATGACTAGTGTGCCACGAGGACATCTTATAGGTGGTGTGGGTCACCGGATTACCCTGCACATACATTGTGATTGTCCTTACATGATTTGATCATTATGAGTAGTCAGCTGGATATGTTGATGGCTATAAAACTGTCCCTTTCTGTTCCAACTTCCTTCGGGTTCACAGGGCATTCAGCTGATTACACGCGTAGCTCAGCGTAAACTGGCTGTCTACTGGGGACTAGTCAAATCCGGAGACGGACAAGGGGTAAGGAATCACAACAGCATGAAGTAAGTGAATTGTGAAATGTTAGAGGTGCAACCGAAGTAGGAATAGAAAGTACCGCAGTAACGAATCAAAACTATTTCATAAATATGTTTGTGGGTAAGAACTGATTAACAGTGTCGTTGACCCCGAAAAGTGCCTGCCTTTGTACTCCGCCTGAGGAGGTCCTATCACCGTTATGCATTCTCTCCGGGCGAATATGAATTTGCTGCGTATCAAATTAGAAGAAGCTGAATCAACAAACACACCGGACTGCAAGCTTTGGTGGTGGTTCGAAAGCGCAGTTACAGAGAAAATCACCCTAAAATGATGACCCCAGTAGTGGTTCGCGGAGTGCACTATTCATTTGTACACCTGACCGGTGCTACAGTGAGATGTACGTAAGTTGTGACGTTCCTTATTCGGATGAGAATGTGTATCAGACCATAATACGGGCCGCTTCAACGCATGGCTGAGACGATACATCTGCGAGAAACCGAAATGAGACGTCTTCAGGTCCGTCACAAACCTCATCTCAGCATCATAGCTCATAAAGGCTGGTGCCGGATAACACACAAGGGAGCAATTAGAAAACGAGTGCCCCGATGTGCAGCTGGGACTTCAATTGATGTGTCCAGTGCCAAAAGCATTGCTACTTAGGGCATGTATTATGCATACCGAGTCAAAATGATTTGCACTAACTAAACAAGGAGAGGCACTCGAAGTTAAGTGCCTCGGGTCGCGTTTGCTTCGAAACAACTATAGCGACATAGCTGCATACCCCCGAACTTAAAGGGACGTGTGTATCAGACTACAGTACAAGCTGTTTTATTGCACGCTTGTGAGACGTGGCCCCTTTGGGCCGCAGAACTCAGACGACCTCAGTCTTCGACCATTCTTGTCTCAGAATGATAGTTCGTGTAGGCAGGAGGCGGCAAACCCGCAGGCAAGTGACGGTCAACCTTTTACCTGGCAGGTGAGTATGAAAGGGAATGCGAGACGTTTGGATGCTGTTGGTGCTACTCGCCTTTCAGGATGGGGAATGCGTGATGCCCGCTATACCGGGTTGGAGACGCTGCAAGATATGGCTGCTAATCGATATCAGTAGCGTTCGTCTTATCAGTTTCTATTCAGATTGCCTAAGTTATTGTCTGGAGGTGTAGGCACCTTGGAATGATTGTGGTAGGCTCGTACTAAATCCCTATCTCACCTATCTTCATTCTTTTCTTCACAACAAGGCTTTCCAATATATCGTGGTTGTAAGGCAACGAAGCATCAATGGTGAACACTGATGTTGTGGTTTTGATGATGATCCGGATGCATAGAGAATGGGCTGACCCGGAGCGCAGCTTGGCTGACATACAAAATATCAAAGTACCTTTCCACATCGGTAGCGAGCAGATATTTATAGAAATCCACTGACAATACTCTATTTGCGGCACATCGGGGACCGTACCTGAGCCCCAACAGCAGCGAAACCGGTTGCGGGCTGTTAGAGTTGTCAGCAACCTTATGAGTAGTGTGTTGAGTCCACAAATCATTCCTCCAATCATTCACCTTCAATGTGTCCATTTTGTCAGCAAATGAGTAGTGTGTTGAGTCCACAAATCATTCCTCCAATCATTCACCTTCAATGTGTCCATTGCGGGATCACATATCATCAACCACTACACCGAGAAATTCGCAGAGTGAATCGAACGCGAAAACGGCATCCACCGACTTAATTCATTTTAATCCAATAAAAAATAACCGATTTTCCACGAACTACAGTAGTAGGCTCATCAACGGATATTTCAGTTTTTTTGCCGACGCTTCCCTTTGTTCTCTTATAACTTATCGAGCCACATCGACACACAAATGGCATCACACCTATCTTTGGTGTGCGAAATTTCAATCAGATCTATTTTTACACCAAGATCATGCGGACTTTGGTATGTAGACCTTAGTGTTGAGCGTTCAGTAAAATGCACAGTTTCTGTTGGTTTGTGGCTATTTCGGGGTCAGGCCACATTCTTGGTGATCGTCAGCACAGCGCCCACTTAAGACGTATGCAGACTTAGTTATGACTAGTTGTAAAATGCACTCGGTTAGTGCGCTCCTGCTGCATCGCTCTTCACAAATCGATTTGACACAGTGGGACTCAGAATATGTATCAGAGTTTCCACAAGGAACCACCGTTGTAGGGATGCCAGAACGTCTCCTCGACCGGTTGTGTCCATTTGGGAAGGATCACCACAATGAACCGTCTAAATGCTTCCTGCTCTTGATCACCAAGTAATTCGCTGGTTGTCAATGCTTCCAGCAGCTTTTTAAGGAAAAACACAACATTGTCCACTTACATTTATGCAATTGCTTCAGGTATGAGCCATAAATTTGTGACATCTGGTTACAATCGAGTGAGAAAGGTAAGGTAATTCGAATGCATGTTATGTAACTCAATACTATTGTCATTACAAAATTCTGACCATCAAAGCTCACCGATTAATTTGAAGATGTGGGGGCAGCCAAGCGGTGGACGTGATAGTTGGTATCGTTTGATTATGATTCAAATGAGGATTGCGGCGTTGTCACAGGAACTTCTTTCTATACATGCTTGGATCAGGATGAAGATAGCTACTGAGTGCCTGAACGCCATCAGCTGCGTGAGTGAATCATAGCTAACAGTGTCCCGTCTCGGTGTTACTGCCCGGTTAGACTCGGTTAGGTTCGATGGTTCGAGTATTTATGCTTGCTTGTTAGGTTGGGCAAAAACAAATCTAATATAAAAAACAAATAAGCGTTCGGGTTTAGCAATCTTTCAGTCTAGCTGCCATGCCACCTGAAAGGAGCACGCGGCCTGGTGCACTAACAGTTTAACCAAGTCTAGACAGAGCAGTCGAGATGCCGATGTTGGGTTTGAATCACAGACCTTCCGGTCAGCAATTTCGCGCCTTACCCATCAAGCTATCTCGAGCTCGCACACATCAAGAATTCTGGTTAGATTCTTGATATCGAACTCGGCAATGTTCCAGCACACAAAAGTTAAGTACTGTGACATGCTCCATAGAGGTTACCGTAAGAACAACTCAAATCTTCGAAGAAGTCGATCCGTTGGCATTCGAAAAGCATGAGTAAGTAAAGGCAATCTCTGAGGTATGGAAGGTTGTCCACCGGGTGAATTATTTTCTTCGCCAACGATTCGAAGTCGTGGAGGTAGGCGCTGTCACTCTCCAGTCCGACATTGGTGTGATATTTCACTCAACTACACATCAACTAGATCTAGTTTAACGATCAGGCAGTACGCATCGAACGGAATTCATGTTACACCGAATACCACTACGCAAGATGTGTATGGTTATCTTCTGTGAATACCAAAGCCCCACAAATTCCAGTGCGCTGAGCGCTGAGATGCGTATTGTAGGTGTGGTGTACGGGTCCAGGATTTGTCTCTACCCAGTGTTTGGTTCCGAATGGAGTAGAATGCAACAACAGTCCTCTTGTGTACCACTGACGAGTTAGGAGCCGAACTATCAGGAGGAAGTGTTCAAGAATGGCCACAATGATGCGTTCAACTTGGCTTCGTCTAATTTTTGCGCCACCGTGAAGAGCCACCAAAGCTGTCCTGCTTTTTCTAAAAAAAAACCTTGTCTGTATACCAACATAGGACCCTCAAACTTGATGCCAGTGTAACTGAGCCACATGGTTTAGCGGAAACATGCGTGTCTACTGTTATTATCAATGTGAGGAGCAAACCTCAGCAGGGCATCATATACCCGGCGAGACCAGCGCGATTAGGTGTCCAGATCAGAGGATACTTACGAGGAATATGACTGTCTTCATACCCCGCAACCAAATAGAAGGTCCAGTCAGGTAAACTAGTGCTCAGGTCACCAATAATGAGGACCTCAAGTCTCGGTTAGTGTTGTGGTATGACCGCCAATCGCCTTTCAGCAGTATGGGGCACAGTATCAACAACAATTACAGACATTTTCAGTAAACTGGAAACATGGACTGACCAATGAAAAACACTCAATAAGTTCGAAATAAAGGCACCTATATGGACATAATAACTTGTCAGATTACGAGACTTCTAACACAATCCTCACATAAGAAAGTTGGGGGGTAGGTAGGTTTGCTTTGTTATCCTTCGGAAGGCATGGAACCAAAAGGGTGCTATAGATGAAGGATTTCAAAGCTCACAACCCAAACTATTGAATAGTAGGTGCAGTGATTTCGCCATCTGAAAAACCAATGCTCTTCTTGATGTTGCAGGGACTTATTCTGGTCATAAGAATACAACCTCCTAGTAGCCAGCCCACGGGAAGACTTTGTACACGATTGAGCGAAACGCACGAAACACCGCACATCCCGTGTCCATAAAGGGAATAACTTAATGAAGTACTTTGCCAGCTGCCGTGCCACCCAGAGGGCACGGCTGGGATAATGCCAGGTCGCTCAAGCCTAGGCGGGGGGAGGGGTTGAGAGGCGGGGCTCGGTTTCGACCGCCGGCCGGTAAATTCGCGCTCTAACCAGTGATGCATCTCACCTTTTCGGTACTTTACTACCGATGCATCGAGCAGAATGTTGGATATTTTATGGCGGAATGAAGGTGTATACAACACGATGGACCGAGCTGCAATATGCACCTGTGGCCACGCTAGACGGGAAGCAGAATGTGAAGCTGGGACGAATCGATAAACTTGGCACGTGGTAATACAACCTGTCAGACATTCATGCATAAGACAACTAAACACTCAGGCATTCCGAAACGCCAGCCAGGATTTCTGTACCTTTGAATAAACCTGAGATACCGTGCCAAAAGCCGATTGTTAGTCTTACAATTTTGGAAAGCCCAAGATGTCCCAAGGGCAGGAATAACGAAATTTTGAAGTACCTAATATATATACGCTGGGTAAAAGTTCCTTGAAAACGCCGTCCGATTTCCATACCTAATCGGAGTGACTCCGAAAATTCCTCTCATTGCAAACATACTGGAAATCGTAACGGCAGTCTGCCACCGCTGGTGGCTCGTCTGGGTTACGCACAAAATTGAAGTCGCGTTGTTCAGACGGTTATGATATGGAAATGGTCGATTCTAGGAAAGCAATTCACGGAGCCTTTTGTTCTGATCGGGATTCACCACACGGAGGTCGCAGGGTTCGGTCATATCATGGACGGAAGTCCACAACCTTAACCCGAACAACCAGCAGTCGCCGGCTTCACTGGTGCACACGATGCACAATAATTCTAGTGGTTTTAGGTTGTGCACCTGAACTTTTTGGAATCTGACGACTAGTGGACAGTCGACAGGAACTGATAACTGTCAAACAGTAGCTTTGAACATCAAGAAACTTCTGATTAGTCCTCGGTAGTCACAAACCTGACGAATTTTGGCGCATGTGCTACAACACGCAAAAATACCCGAAAAACACCGTGGATGGGCGAGAACGTTGCGGACTACTCCACTATGGCATTTTACCGCCTTCGTGATAACAGTGCAAGGTGACGGGCCGAATAAACACCCGTGAATGTCGTTGGAGACTGAGCACACTGATGGATGGACTTCCTCATGTACGTGAAGTGGAAACCCTCGACAGGAAACGTTTCCGAAGTTACAACGATTGCACAAATCGAAGGTAAGATTCATTTCAGTCGGTTGGTGAAGAGCAGCTGGAAGGATTAACATTCCACCAGCTTCAACGAAAAAAAACGGCTCCAACACTGCATGATTGCACTGCACTACTCTTCGCGACATACCCAAAATGAGTTACTATACTCAACTTGCTGTCCTTATATTTCACGATCAGTCAAAAACTACAACTTCCGTACAAGTAATGACAAACTATTTACTACGTGTTGCGCCGCTTTTAGTATTAGTCGAACGTGGGGAAAGGTCGAATTCTCACGCAGGGCGATATACTACTTTCCCGTTCTCGCTTTGTTTCGTCCGTGGTTTAGATTCTATACTCCTGTTCCAACTACCTGAAAAAGTAATGTCATCATGGAATACGATATTGTACGCATGAACATTAGCGTCATGGATTACCAGTTCCGCGATTACTACCACCATAGGGCGCGTTAACGTGGACTTTGTGGCAAGAAGCTACGTAACCCCTTCAGTTCCTTTCCCCTAAACCGTCCTTCGTCTGCATCAGTCTGCAGTTAAAAGGGGAGACATTCCCAGTGCATCACGTGCCCCAGTTTTCGTAGCTTGTAGCACTTAACGTGTTTTTGAAGTGGAATAGTAGCTCTATCCTAAATACCGCTTACTGACAAGCGGATTGGCTGATATCAAATTACATGAAGACCTCTAGTACAATGAGGACGAGACACCGGTAAGTAGCGCGGCTGGTAACTATGCAACAACACGAATCGGGGCGTCACATGCGACGTCGAAATCGAAAACTGCAAACCAGAATGCACTACCTACCTGTATTCAGCGCGGTGCTACCTTCACACAGGATAACTGGTCACTTCGAGCACATTCCGAAGTGCAACAGTGAGAAACCGCAGGAAGAAAACCCGACTCCTAAAGTCGATTACCTTCTACAAGAGCCAGCAACAATGCAGTGAGGACAATGCTATATGCTACAAATACTGACTTAGTGGTGCAAAACGTTTGTGGAACTCCAAAGTACCATATAAGTAGCTCAATACCATGATCCAGTCTTATGATCAGCGTATGCATAGGCATAGTAAGATGCTGGCTAACTTCAAGCTACCTGGGGGGGTCAAAAACCACTTTAGGAGGGTATAGCTAGTAAAAAAATATTCGTAACCAACCCCACATGCGTTTCACGTGCCAAGTTTGAACCCATTAGAGTAAACAATTGCGCCACGGGAACCTGAGAGTCAATGCATTATAATAACTGTCCTCAAAAAGCTGTGCCAAATACGGAGGACAGACATCATATTTGGCACGGCATGACACAGCCTCCCACTACGTCTAGCTTCTGCACAAGAGACGCAAGTCGGACAGGATTTCAATCAAATGGGAATCTCCCATGAAAGCCAAATTGATACACAAATGAGGGCACTCGTAGAGCGACAGCCAATTCAGTCGGCGTAGTTTTTGGGATGGATTGCTGAACTTCCAGCCGGTAGGGCTTGGTTACCCTTCATCAGGCTCCTTTCTTATTTGATCTTCGCAATGATGCACCACTAAACGCACACGCTAGCGTACAGAAACAGAAGGATTTGTGGCCTAGGTCCACGCGAATGACTACTTCACGGAAGACTTAGCAGACCACGGAATGTTCCAGAAGTGATTCCGTTTCAGGAATTTCACAGATTAGTCTAACTTTACGACACCCAAACCCTTGAAAATTCGAGTTGAGTGTCGGTTACTTTGTACAATCTCGCAATTACAACCTCAGTTGCAGTCGAAGCACATAAAACCGCAAGCGAAATCCTCCGATTTCAGCCATTTACGCGGGGAGTAATCTTACTTCGCGGTGGGGAAACGTGCCCCGTAATGTTTGGCGACAGGGCGTTTTTTGGACATTTGGTCACGTGTGTTGAGGTGACAGCAGGATTCAGGAGGCCAAAACATAAGCGAATACTTGACAGTGACTCCAAACAGACAGCAAATAAAACCCATCAGATTGTGGTGGTTAGGACATATACTACACATTCACAAACAGCCCTAGTCAAGGAAGGTGCTGTTTCCTTTGTCTATGACGTTCACAAGTGGCACACGAAAAATGGCTGCGCGGAGCGAGAGCGGTTGCAGTCAAGAGCACCGCGAAACCCCCGCATCCCCGTGGCTAAACCACAGGTAACCTTGACAAGCGACCGGAAACCCTACAAGGCTCGTAACAAATTGCAACCTAGAAGGAGTGTTTGGTTAAAGGTTGTCAATTCGCGCTGGACTTGTGCTACGTGAAGTCAGCCTCGTTGACGACTTCAGAAGAAATGATGCTTGAACGTTCTAGCTTAGTTGTAAGTCCTTATCGAGGGATTTTGCACGAACATGCCACCTCCATGATTCCGTGGTACATGACGGACCATTGGCGCACTGTTGTTGCTTATTGTACTATTAAGGTCAGTGGGCTTCAGGTGAATCCGTTTTGAGCTAAGTTGTTCCATGGACGAAAGAATGGGTCAGAAATAACCCAGAAATGCCTATGAGCACATGGGTATGAGGGGGAATTAACCCAACAGTCTAGAGCCAGGATAACAAACAAAAACCACACAAGATACCTGCTCTTCGACATCAATTGCCATGAGACCAGGTCGAAGCTCATTATGAGCTACATCCTTATTAATGAGCCGACGGAAAACAAGCACAAGAGAAAAAATGTATCACCAGACTGAACCAAGACCAACGTTCGATATTATTGGAACCACGGAATGCGGTAATGTCCGCATAAAAGCACGCAGTTATCATTAGCAGTATTATTAGTACTAAATATGATGCAACCATGTCAGCAGGCCTGTTCATCGACGGCGAAAAGAACGACAATCGTCATCGTAAGTCGTGCGAACAAGAAGTATTAGTAATAGTAGTTGTGAAGATCGAGGTTTCAAGTCACATGATTCCAACAAACGGGTATGTAGGGGTGGCATCAAAGGGAGAGAAAAGATACAATTCGGTAACTAGTGAGGGCATGGATACGAACAAGTGTGATCAAAGTGGAGAGCGAGTGATACGCCTTACGGACAGACGGAAAAATTCGTTTACGTTAGGTGTTTGATGAAACCACACACGATGTCACACGTCGCTTGCAGAGATAGAAAAAGAAACAAAGTCGGCGATGCGCGGGGTCGGCAAAAATATCAGGCAAACAAGTAAAAACAACAGAAGAAAAAAGAAAACAGAGAATCCACGTAAACAGTAGCCAGTTTGGGCACGTGGGCTAACATAGCAATGTAATGTTGGGGTTGGTGGTACTTAGCTGGTTTCCACAAAGTCCTACCATGTTTAATAAATGCAACGCAAAAAGAGTCAGGATCGGATTGGGAGAGGATGTGCCTATGTCCGAATATACAAAACAGGCAATACACAAGGTAACGTACAGCGCTGGTCGCTTCGGTGACTTTTTGGAGGACAGCAGACAGATTACCCGATGATACAGTTACGGTACGACACAAAATGACTATGCACAGGTGCAGCACGGTAGGCGCAGTAAGAGATCCCGCAGAGGGAAGTGCCCATGTATCGGATAGAGTAGAGGATGGGACAGCATAGGAGCATGATTGGTAGTTCTGTGACCCAAGTAAGAGAAATGTGTACACTGAGAATCAAATGCCATTGTGGGATAGGTAAGTAAGCAGAAAACTCAAGGATCAAACATAGACCATCGATAAAAGTCAGCCGTCCGGGACGTTTGATTGATCGTGAGAGAAATGGTAAAAAGAGACCGATGGAGGAACTAATTGGCCAGCGGCGAGGATAGACGGGATTCAACACCGGCATAACTGATTTCAAAAAGATTCGATTCATTCCTCTCAAGAGACAATAGCCAGAGGCCTCAGGAGATTTGACTGAAAGAGTATTCTTGCTACAAATCAGAAGTGCAAAGAATGGAGGAATTTAATGAACAGGAAATGCACCCAAACCCTCGTCAAACATCTATCATCGAGATATTCGGAAAGTATCACTTAAGTGAGCGTGGCTACTCAAACTGCTGCATTGCAATAGCGTTTTATGAAGATTCTCGGAGGATTTTTTTAACGCGTGACCAGCAGTATTGACACGATCTCTTAAGAGTACTGAGAAAACACAAACGGTTTTGGGCACGAGACCACAACTGCGCACACGCCTATAAGCCACATACACCCGTATTCTGGCTAGGAAACTACTACTCCCGTGCTCAGTCTCGGGGGATCCGAATTGCTCATAAACGAAGACCAGGTGACCCAGAAGCGCCGTAGCAAAACACAAGCCGAGGTTATTAGGCAGAGTGGGCTATTCAACGCTTTACGACAGTTAAATGCCAGTGTGAACTGTCAAAGACGAGTGTGCTGAATGACAGTTAACGGATGGTATCAAAGCGACCATGTGCTGCGAAGTACCAGTACCTCACTTATGGACGGCCACATTTACATGTGTGGTAGCGCAGCAGCAGCTCATCGAGAAGACAAAATTCCTCTTATCGAAAAGCGTGATAGGCAACGAGGCGCATATTCGACCAACGTTCTAAAATCAAGTGCTTACAGTCAATCGCAATGACTCTCATCATCATCATCATCGACAGCATGACATCAGTGTTCAACACTGATGCTTCACTGCCGTACAACCATGACTTATTTGAAAGCCTTATTGTAAACAAAAGAATAAAGATGGACGAGGAAGGGACTTAGTGCTAGCTTAACACAATCATTCCGAGGTGCCTACACCTCCAGACATTCACTCAGGCAATCTGGATAGAAACTGACAACAAGAACGCCACTGACATCGGTTGGCAGCCATATCTTGTAGTGTCTCCAACCAGGCACAGTGAGGATCACGCGGTCCCCATCCTGGGAGCCGAGCAACACCGATCTCCTTCATACTCCCCTGCCAAGTCAAGGGTTGGCCACCTCTGTTCACGTCACTCTGAGTTGGGCATGGAAAACAGCACTCTTTTCGGCAACACATGTCCCACCCAACGCAGCTTCTGGTGCTGGACACATTCCTCAGTGGAAGTACCCGTTACACAACCGAAAACACGTTTTCTAACTGCCTCGTTACGGATTCGCTGACACCAACCCACACGAGCTATGGTTCTGAGACAACGATTGTCGAACACCTGAAGACGTCTCAGGTCCGCTGCTCGAATAGGCCAAGTCTCACAGCCATACAACAAAACAGCCCGTACTGTAGCTTGATACACACGTCCCTTCAGATTCAGGGATAAACCATTTTGACGCCATAGGTGTCTCAAGTTAGCAAACGCGGCCCGAGCCTTGCAGATTCGTGTATTCACCTCATCTGTCACACTACAATCAGAACTAATGATGACGACTCTGCAGTCGAACTTGTCATTAAATCCTTCTAGATCACCACGTCACAGCTGCGTGATCACAAGCGTCTGTATATGGTCGAGCGATTTCAGTCCCTTCATGAAGTGAACGAGGAAAACCACATCTGATGAGACTTCGGAAATTGTCCTAGGAGCTCATCACCGTTAAAATCTCGAATAATCGGTGGTACACCAGTGAGGTTATTCCATGGATTCAGCTAATTCCATTAGGTATACACAAAGCATCTGCATCCAGGGTATATGTTGACACAGTGACACACACGAATGATGTATGGCGAGAAATTTGCAATTTTGGACAAGATTCCACCATAACCTGTGTTCTCATTGAAAAACTATTTCATGGTTTGCTAAATGACGCCCCCCCCCCCCCCCCAAAAAAAACAAACCCGACCCGGGAAACTTGGGCAAAGTCAGAGGAATTCCGGGAATGCAAGCAGTGGCAATTAAGTGCGAGACTCCTGCCGCATGAGAAAACAACTTCACGTGCCAGGATAGGCTAATAAAAATAAGGATGTCCCTCAAACATAACTCAAGGGAACTTTTACCAACCGAGGTAAGTGACAGCAGCCTGTTTGTAAAGGAATAAATTTGAAACCATGTAGGGCAATCTAGCAGGTTTTTAGCCGCCATCTTAATAAAACAAGTAAAAATCAGGTAAAATGAAATGAACCCAGCTTGGAAAAACTGACAAAAACGACCGGACCGAGTTGTAGATTAGAACCCACGTTCCTAAACTCTACACGTCTGCGATATGAGGCTACCAGTACCAGTCATGTTTCTTGTTGTTACCCTTGTTTTGAATTGAGACAATAAAAAGCTATCACACAACAACTAACCGGGAATTGCACAGAACCGGGACCGCCAGCAGGGCTAGGATTAGAACCGCCACAAACGGACTGTAGAGTGCCACCACCGGAACTCGAATGTTGTCCACTAGATGGCACGTACTGTGGTGGTGGTGGCGCTTGTCCCTGAGATCCGCCAACACTTGCTAAATGTTGCTGCTGTGGTGGTAACACACCACCTTGTTGATGAGACGGTGGTGGCATCATCATGACGGAATCCGGAGCGTTACCAAATCCTGATGTGCCTGGGCCATTTCCATTGCTTCCGGGTCCTGTGCAGGGTGGATACTCTGACGGTATGAGGGGTGGAGGGCCACCAGAAGGACCCATCAAGTCGGGTCCCAAACTAGGACCGGTATGAAGGGGGGATGCCTTCAAATCAGGACCTGACGGGGGATAACCACCAGATACGGACGGCATTCCGCTGGAATATTCCGGTGGTGGAGGTGGCATCATTCCACTACTACGTGGAGGAAGTCCACCGGAGCCACCGTTAAGAAGACCCGAATCCCCAGGTCCGGCACCAAACATTGCATTTTCTGGTGTTGAGCCAGGACCGCCACCACCACCGAAAACAAAATGAGGAGAAGGTCGGGTGTTGTATTCTGGAGGTAAACACGCACCAGCTGAGGAGGCAGGTGGAGTCTGCTGTTGAGGCGGAGGTTGGCCAACGACGTACTGCGGTGGAGTGGGATGATGTGGGTGACCAGGTGGCAAACCACTACCGGAAGGTTGGTGATCTGAAGGCGGGCAGTTGTTCTGAAAATAAAAATAATGAGTGGAAATACACAGACATAGCTCTTAAGCAGACATTTAGCGCACATAACGAGAAGGGACCCTGGTGTTTACCAGGTGGATCGAAATAGTTATGGATGACGGGAGGCAGCCCAACTGTATGAAATTCAAAAAGCTTGGTGAGTGCTCTTCGGAGCGAACAAGCGAACCTTCCGGTCAGTGAATTCGCGCTCTAACCACTTGGTCCATCTTGCCTCCTTTTATCATAGGTGACAGCTGAGCGCAGGGTCCGGTCACGCAACTAGGGTTGATTCAACATTCGGCTTGCCCAGCCACCCAAAGATCCTAACACTACCACGGAATCCCGTTCCTCAACCCCGCAGTTTTATTGACCG